ACCCCACCGCGGATTCTTCAGCATCGGAAACTCCCCCGAGACTCTGTCGCCTCCCTCGCCGCTGCCACTCGCTGCCCCTGCCCCTGCACCATTCGCGACCGCAAACCCCGCAGCGAACCCCATCAAACCCCCCGCCCCCGCACTCAAACTCCTGCTATGCCGCTTATGCCTTGCGTCCAGCCCTCCCCCTGCCTCTCTAACCGAGTTAAAATACCCGCCCCCCTCCCCTGCACCTGCGCCTCCACTCCCTCCACCACCGCCAAACCGCTCCCGGTCCGCGGCGCCCCCGAAATCAGGCACGCGCGCATACACGCGCACCTCGTACCCAAGCCGCTCCGCGCTCTCCATCGGCTGGTACAGCGGGCTCGAGGTGACGAGCACGCGCCGGCTGATGGGCCGCCCGCGCTCGAGGATGAGCGCGAGCGCGGCGTGGGAGAGGTGCCGCGAGCGGGGCGTGGGTTTAGGCGGAAGTTGAGAGAGCGGGTTCTGGGGATGGGAGGGCGGGAAGGGCGAGGAGGTGTGTGAGTTGTGGGCGGAGGAGAAGGTGGTGGTGGTAGGCAGTGGGGTGGGTACGTGCACATGGGTCTGGTGCGCCGGCGGGCTGTCCTTGTCCTTGTCTTTTGCATTCGCATTAATCGAGTACGACGAGGAAGACGCGTGTGCAGCGGCGAGCGTCTTTGGGTAACGCTTCAAGTACGTCAAAAGCCCGATGAGGATATTGCTGTGGTCAATGAAGACGTGCACGAGTGTGTCCCCCTCTCCCGGCGGCTTCCCGCGCGGGTCGACGAAGAGGTCGTGTCCACCGCCTGCTACCGCACTCTCCTCACCACTGGTACCGTTATTCTTCCCCCGCCTGTTTTTGCCATTCCCAGTAGGACTAGTGTCAGAATTCGAGTTGGCGCCCCCCTCTGCCCTCCCCACCAACTCCCGATCGGCCGGAATCAGCCCTTCGAGCAGTGCCCGGTCCGCAGGGAACAGCTTCCCAAGTTTCCGCGCCAGCACGCGCAATTGCACCACGCGCGCGTAGAACGGATGCGGGTAGTATTCCTTGGCTAAATTTAACAGCACGGCGTCTTTCCCTGACGTGAGGAGTAGATCATGCGTGGAAGCGGACGCGGAGGGGAGCCCGAGGCTCACGCCCCCGCCGAGGACGCGCAGTTGGGGTGTGCTGCGGCTGTGGATAAGCACCCGGTTGGCGCTCGCCCCACTCAAACTCGCTTGTGATGCCGACGGCGACGTGAGCTGGAGCTGCCGCTTCCGCTCCTTCCGCGAGCGCGAAGGGGTCGCGGGGACGGATTTATTGGGGGCGTGGCCGCGGGGAATCGGTGGGTGTGTCTGCAATTGCAGTTGTTGTGTATGCCCGTGGCGGGCAAGGATGTGGGTGTAGGAATTGACGGAAGCGGTAGTTGTAGTGGTAGTCGTCGTGGTAGTGGTGGTGTGACCGTTGTTCTCGAGGGAGGAGGAGGTGGAAGAATCATCGGCGTCGTCGGCGGCGTCGCGGTTGGGGTGTAGTGAAGATGTAGAGGGCGCGTCCTCGGGCTTGGGATTGCGCGGGGTGCGTTTCCGACGGCGTTTCCGGCGGGGTTCTGTACACGTTGTTAGAAAATCAAAGTAAAACAAAGTAGGAAAAGAAAGGAACAGAAAGACGCCCAATCGCGGGCACCCACGCGGGGTGGGATAATGAATTAATGTAAGAAGAAGAAAGTCAGATAGAACGCAGAGTCGCAGGATCACCGCGATCTGACGGCCATCCTAATAACCTAGATATGAAATGCAGCAGACAGGACCCACCTACGACATGCTTCCACGACCCCTCGTTTGCCGCGACGTCTGCCTCGCGCTGGGCCGTCCACCGGGCACGCTCCGCAGCGATGAAGCTGAGGGCGCCGTCGAGCAGGCCGAGGGACGGCTGCTCGACATCGTCGTCGTCCTCGATGTCTGAGTGCTCGTACTCGCCGGGTTCCTCTTCGTCATCCTCATCCTGCTCGTCTAGCTCCACGTCCAAGCCCAGCGTGGGACCGCCTTCGGTGTTCGATCCGGAGCCGGGGCTGGGTGTGCTAGGGCTGGGGGAGCGACCGTCGGTGTCCGTTGTCGCTGCGATACTGTCTAGGTAGGAGGCGATTGGACGGTGAGACCAGACGGTGGAACCCCCGGGGCCAGACAAGGGATGGTCATCGGATTCTTGATACGAGTAGTCTGTAGTGGTGTCCGTTTCTGTAGTGGTGTGGGGCTGGTTGTGCATAAATGCCCGTGGGGGTGGCTGCAAGTGCGTCCATGCACGCAGAACAGTCGTAAATGCTCCCAGGTCGGGGAGTTCTGCGATGAATTCGGTGTAAATTGGCGGTAAATTGGCGGTAAATTGGCGGTAAAAGGAAAATGGATACACACCGTCTGAAGTTGGTTCACTGGGGACTTCGAAGGAGGAGAAAGGACTGAGGGGACTTGTGGAAGCGTTCGTGTCTGTCGTGTCGCTGCTCTGCATCTTACAATTATTATCAATACGAAAAATTAGCTGCGAATGAAAGGAACGTGTAAACGGCGTGTAGCGAGAGAAGAGGCAAAGTCACAGTGACATTGTCACACCGGCACCGCCTCGGCGCAGATCCTTCGCAAACTTCCGTGTTGACTTTGACCTCAGTCCCTTCAGTACTACTAAGGATCGAGTCAAACCCAAGTCAAATCGCTCATATTCACATTCATTCCAATGCATGCAAGTCGACTCACCGCCAGCTGCCCCATGTCATGAATATTTTCGGCGACAACCAGTCAGTGTTGCGGATTAAGGCCTTATTAAGGGTCAAGATTATTGTTAAGCCTTAAGACCCTTAAGAAGGCCTTAATAAGGGTACCCTTAATAATCCTTAATTTCCTAAAGCGGAAAATGAGCAAAACAGGGAGATGAACCAAGGCCTCGCACTAAAAGGCCGCCCTGAGACCGGGTGAGTGGACCAGTATGCATTGTTCGAATTTCGTAGCTCACCTTTTGTTTCCACTCTCAGGTTCTCATGTTTGGGACTTTCTGATTCTTCCAGCTGTGCAGGCAATCCTGCCAATGTTCCCAATCCCAGCAAGGCCTCATTTTCATCACACATGCATAACAGAAGGACACAGCACAATACTCACATGGATTCTCGGGTTGTTTAACCACAGTGATGGCCCATCATTAACCTTAATAAGCCCTTAACAAGTTTCTCGGCCACCGTTAAGGGTTAATATTAAGGGCTTATTAAGGGCGACCCTTAATTAACCCTTAACCCTTAACCGCAACACTGCAACCAGTGCGGTCGTACATATCAGTCTCCCTCGTTGATCTTCGACAACTTGATAAACTCGCTGTGGATCTGCTCATCCATCAGAGATCCCTCTTGCCACAGTCGAATTATCCCTGCATGGTTGTCGGCTGCTCTTCGCTCGATATTATTCCACTGGGACTAGGTTCATCATACTGCTGCACACTGAGCTCCAGTCTCCATCCACGCCCTCTCGAGAGTCAACTAACAGTAAATCCGCACTGACAACATACTATTTCCGTAACGAGGCGCTGCAATGTTAACATCTCCGAGATCGCCAGCCAGAATGAATTACTGGCTACCGCCGCATCCACTGCATAAAGATGGATTTACGAGGAAATGGAATTCAACGAGGAGCGACAGGTAAGCGGGAATTCAACAGAGAGAGAATCAACCGCGACCGGCGTAAAATTCGGGTAGGTTCATATTGCTTTGGTTCAACCTTTTTTTTTAGCATACGTCTGAATCTCTTAGCTTTTTCCAGATCGTCAGAAAGCGGTCCTGTGGCTGCCGACTGGAATCTCGAGAGTGAGTACTTCAGGAGATGGGTCACGACGGGGTTCGCATCCTCCTCTGGACATGAATGATCTCTAGTAACGCTCTTTTTAATTTCGCTCTGACTGTTCCAGCGCTCATACTCCTTGAATGACTGGCAGTCGGTGAAGACGCCGTCCCAACTGACTGGGACGCTGACGTTGTGGTTTATCCTGAGATCTCTTGACCTTGAAAAGTCCGCTAGGAAGCAGTCCTGATGTGTAGTGCCCCACTGTCTTGATGGTAACGCGACACTTTGGACAGGCGCCTGGAGGTTCGAATCCTCCTGGAGACATACGTTGGCGATGAAATTTTTACCCCCCTCCTGCATTATGTAGTTCCCAGAAAAAGGACAAGAAGGAAGTGCTCTGGTTCAGATTCCTTGGAATCCTCCGGCGTAGCTTATATATTTCTTCGCGCTTTTGAACCATCCATCTCCTCCAGCCAAAGAGTCTCGAAGAGAGCCACGCCGGAAACCGCAAGAACTCCGAGGCGTTTTTCAGTGTCCCCATTATCTGCCCTTCGCTTGCTCGTCTCCGGCTAGCGCCGCCTCTTCTGGTAGGTCCGCAATCTCGCCGCATCAAGATACACACAAACCACACACCACATCCACTCATTTTGCCCAAGCACAGTGGGAATGGAAGCGCGAAAACAAGGACTGAAACCTCGGTCCATGTAAGGCGCTCCGCCGGGTATTTGATCCCGGACGCAGCCTCGGCCCACTCTTGCTCGGATGGATTCTCGTCCTTCAGCGCTCTCGCCATTCATAGGATGAATATACAGAACCTGTAATTGATACCGAGCCTTGCGCGGATTGGTGGTGAGACTTGGGCGCGAAAACATTTTTCATTCATTTTTCAACCAGACTTGAACCGTGGGAACCTCCATCAATTTCTCTTCCTGTGCACGGAGAAATGCTACTGTGGCCAAGCAGAGCCTTTCGAGGCGTCGCTCTGCTCTACGTCTTGATTCACTGCATTCCTAGGTCCCTAGGCAGTGCTTGCCTTGCTCGGCCGTGCTCTGCCTAGTTACCAAAGCCGTGATGCCTTGGTACCAAGGCAGAGGTGGCTATCCGCGGCCTTGGTACCTAGGCAGAGCAAGGACGAGCAAGACTCTCGCTGCCTTGGGGCTCAGGGAACGCAGTGATTCAATGCGAAAGCGCTGCAGCTCAAGGAGGGCTCAGCAGTGGATGGTCCACACCTGCGTTTCGTATACTGTTTCCATTTGTCCAGCAGGAGAACACCCGTTCGAACCGGGTCTGAGCCATAAGGGTCCGGCTGAAGAAGGATTTTTGTTCTACTGGAGAAACAGCAGCATAGGCTGGTGGTGGATGATCAAAGTCTGCGCTTCATTCAATTGCAACTCCGCATTAAAGATAAGAACAGCATGGGGACTTTTGCCTGAATGACACCGTGCAAAACAACATCTAGATTGCACAGATCAGAGAGAGGTGAATAGGCCCAGTGGTGGATGACAGATACCTCGGACGTGGATTGGATGACGCAAGAGAAGCCTGTTCGAATCAGGTTTGGGCCACACGGAAAGGTAGAGGAGACTGTTTTTCATCCTCTTTGAACGAATCGAATCAAATGCTCTCAACATGTCGGGGCTCTTACCGTTAAATGGGCGTTCATTCTTGCGACACCTTTCTTACATGCGAAATGTATACGACTCGACAAGTATCAGGTACACACGAGCTCCTTCCCCTGCACCATCCTCGCCGTTTCCGGGAAATTCCAGAACGACAGCGCAATGAGGGCGTACACCGCTTCGAATCAAACAGTTAGCCACCGTTTGAACTGTAACCACAACAGGTGACACACACCAATAAAGACGACCCCGCTCATCCAATGCGACTTTCCGTCCTCGACAGAGAACTTGACGAGGATCACGGAGAGGAAAAGGACCTGCCAGAGCGCGGTCATTCAGTAACTTCAGTTTGAAGTGAAACTGGTCGGGGGACTCGACGGACCAAGGTCTCCAGGGGGTTGAATAGCAGGGTGAGCGGTTTGTGCATGCCCCAGGCGAGGAGGATGAGCACGGGGATCACAAAGAGCGAGATCTGGATGCAGCTGCCGATGGCGACGCTGAGGGCGAGGTCAAACTGCGATTGGTTCAGTAAAATCAATCACATCCAGGGTGACCGTAAACCCCGCGCCGTGGCGTCGAACAAATCATACCTTGCCCTTGCTGGCGACCACGACGGCGGTGATGTGCTCGGCGGCGTTGCTGATGACGGGGATCACGATGAGCGTGATCCATTTCTCGGAAATGTTGGGGTGTGCGGCGACGAGGCCCTCGAGGGACGCGACGAGGTGCTCCGCGGTGAGGTATGCGAGGCCGGTGGTTGCCACGAGCACGAAGAGCGCGACGGGCGTGTTGAGCTTGGGAATTCGATGTCGCCAAGAGCGCCGCCGCGGTGCACGGGGAGTACATTTTCGGAGTGAGAAATGGAGGAGCGCGGTGATTTCTCGGTCGACAGAAAGAGGTGGCTATGCGAGTAAAATTGGAAGAAGAGCTAGGCGGGAGGGCTGATGTTGGAGAAGGCGGCGGCTACAAATACGGAAAGAAACTTACGTAGGCGATGTAACTGTGTTGCGAATGGAACTGGGTGAGCTTGAGAAATTCGGAAGTATTTTTGTGCGCACATAAAAATGAGAATAATCGCACTTCCGCGGCTTAACTGTAATAGAACAGGTACTTCTTCGCCGTCGTCGAGGCGGTCTCCGAGGTATTCATGCTGTATTTTGCATCAGTTCAACGCCATAAATATGTAAAACAGATGCGAACGAAGGCAGCGGGAACGATGAGCGAGATGACGGACACCGTCATCAAGGAGGAGTTGAGTTGCGCCACCATCGGCTGGAATTCTTGGGAATGAAACCGGAATCCGCCAACTAAGTTTGAAGTGAGTTGAAATACCTCAGTGAGAGACGCCGTGATCACCTATGAACGCCATGCCGAGGACAAGCAGCATATTACTCAAAAGTCCGCCGAGCAACGAGCTCTGGACGAGTTCCAACTTGCACTGGAAAATATCAGCACTTCTGGATCAAAATCGATCGACATTCCTTACCTGCTTCAATGCGATCCCAGCGATGATCATCTCGACGATATTTCCAAGTGTGGCATTCAACAGCCCGCCGACACTGTGGCTCGTCCGCAGCGCGATCTGCTCCGTGCCAAGTCCGAGGAGGGCGGCCAGCGGGATGATGCCGAGACAACAAAATACGAAGATCAGGGTCGCACTTTGGTGGGTGTAGTGCAGCGCCCAAGATACAGGGATGAATACCAGGCAGACGTTCAGCGGGGTGTAGCGGAGCACCGCTTGGAAGGAAGCGGCGTATGTCGGCGGGGGCCCCACGGTGTGAGTGGGTGCAAAATGCGCCCGGAATTTCTGCAGGGCTGACGCTGAGATCGTGGGTGCGCCGGTGTTCCCTTGCTCATGCGTGGCAATGCCGGCGGTGGCACTATGCCAGACTGGAGCTTGAGCGGAGTTATGTCTTAGGACGGTGCCACGACTGGGAGGCTCGTCTGCGTCTTCGGTGTCGATACGTTGAGTTGGGGTGACATTGGAAGTATGTGAGGAGGGCGTGATCATTCGCGTTGGGTGGGGATTCTCTCATCCGGCTAGTTTATAAGCATAATCCGCATCGTCTTGGTATCTTGGCGTCTTGGTTGTATCCACTGCATACCATTTGAAAATCCAGTGAGGACGCAATATATATGTGTTCAAGTGGCCCCAAAGTAAAGCCACAGGTCCCAGTTTAGATTCGCTGCCAAAGAGCCAAAGAAAGACGTTAAGACGGGTCAAGGAGGCGTGCATTCAAGCACTTTTTCCTGTGTGGAGCCTTTGACCCGAAATGCTTGGGGCCTTGGTATTTAGACCAAGCAAAGTCCGGAACAGCATTTGAGACAGCGACGAGGTGTGAGCGAATCGGCAGCGGGGGCAGTTTGGGTCTGGGAAAGGAAATCAAGCCCTGGCATTCAATTTTCCGACCCGGGCCATCGGTGAGCAAGGGTTGGAACTTGGGTCACGGCGGTTGAAGACAAGGGCAGGATTGCCGATCAACGGAAGTAGAGCGGAAGCGATTGGTAAACAGGCCAGCACAACGCGCGTCAATTGCAACCGCCATGTTCTTGGGCAGGTCCCTCAAAGTTGGACATCCTCCCTTGAATCCTCCCGCCAATTGTGGCTCAACCTTACTTCTGATGGCTCCGAATAACCTTCGCGCGCCGCAGCGGCGTTTCGCGCTGCTTAACCCACGGTTCGCAACTTCGCTGTGCCCACGGCGATTGCGGCGTCCTTTTTAATACACGGCGACCAGCTGCTGTCCCTGGGTATTCTGGGCGAGAACTCCTTCGTGAACAACGGCCACCTCCTATCGGATAGACACTGCACAGAACACGCCAACTCTTCGTTAAGCGTTACGAACGGCCCCAGGCGGACTCGACGAGGCTCGTTAGAACTTCGGCCATTCGCCTCTCCCCGAGACGATACGGGTTCACCGTATCTCTAAGCTCCTTCTAATGTCTGTCAGTAGGCGCGGTTGTCCAGTGATATCGTATATGTATGGCGGCATTTTCGGCTGTCCCTGTGTGGAATTAATAACTTATTGACCTGCAGGTGAATGATATGATATCGCACCCCTGCAAAAAACCCTCAACCCTGTCGATGGTCAATCCGTTTTCCACCGGTGTCCATTGGACGACGGTCCACCTTTTGCGCAACGTCATTTCGTCGCAATGTGTCTCGCAAAAGACTCCGCGTATACGCGAACACGCCGCCAACGTCCTGGATATCCCAATAAACGCGCCATCAAGAAGATATACGCCCCCCGACGGCGGAACCTTCGAAGACCTTCGGGTGTCGGGATGCTGAAGGGCTGGTTTTCTTTTCGCAGCACGTGCATTTGTCGCGTCCGGCTACTTCCCCGACTCCTTGAACTTCGCGCCGGCCCAAATGCCGATCGAACGGGATTCCGAAAAAATGAAGAACTTCCAGAGTTCTTTTGCCTCCGTTCTTTTCTCTGAATCGATTCGTCAAGAGGGTTACCGCCGGCGGACTCTCGCAGGAAACAACTGCTAATATAGATGTTCCTTCCCTGCGACATGTGCCAATTCTCATCGGGAGGAAGCAATATCGCAAGCACTGTCCCGCGGCGCATCATGATATTATACAACAGATACCTACCCGTCCATCGTGTGTCGGAAAAGCCTGGCGGTCGTCGAAATATTCACTCCGAGTCCCCGCCGGCAATCCGCACTGATGATCATTCACGTTCAGTGCCTGCAGGCCAACTAATCCCGCAGAGAATATTTCTACGCGCTCTCGACGTGGGACATGGCCAGGCGACTCGCCCATCCCGATTATCTCCGCCTTGGAGGCAACACCCCAAACAAACTCAAACCTTCATGGCCTGTAAGCAGGTGTGCACTCGCATGAATAAATAGTCTCCGTTCGTCCTGCGCAGTTACCTGCGCTCATACACCGGTGCGGAAGCTGACGTTGCCACGAACGGTCCATGTATATTTCTCTAATTTCCAACTTCAGCGCGAGCCTGAATGAAGCCCACTTCGAAGACACCCCGGCTGCACATTCCAGGGGCCCTTCGAATTCCAACTCGGGCGTTCGGACGTCGAATCTATTACTTTTATAGCGGCAATTCGATGCGAAGGTTGTCGCTGCTGTAATACGGAATGCACCGTTATGCGATTCGCAAAAAAAGGCAAAGTGATGCCATGGGTCGTGCCCGCATTAGGCTCCCTCGCAGCGAGGACTTGGAGAGATGGGTGCGGGCATCGCGCGTCCCAACGTGGCTGCCAGCTGATTCGTGATTCACAGGCGTTACCCCGAGCAAGCAACCCCGTCCCAAGTACTCGCGCACCGATTGAATCCTCCCGAGGTGCCCATGTCTTGTGTTATCGTGTCCGTGGAGACAAGTGATTAACAGCAATACAGAAATTAACCGCTATCAGGCAGGCTGCTGCAGAGACCGCATGGACTCGCAGGCGAGGCCTTGATTTTTATTTCGCAAGCCCACTGGCTACCCACGCCCCCGCTACCCACGGCCCCGGGGCGGGCGCGCCGGGCGCGTTTCCCATGCTTGGCGGGATATTCCGGCGCAACAATTGAAAGCACATGGCGCCGACAAGCGGGGAGGATCGCAGGCCGGATCACTGGCAGCGCGTGAACGAGCGAGTGACGCGAAAGAAAACGCGTGAATGAACGCATTGGCCAGGGCGCGTAAAAGAAGGCGTGCAGC